CTTGCTTGCTTGCTTGCTTGCTTGCTTGCTTGCTTCTTTTCGTTCGTTCTCTTTTTGTGTTCCTTTCCTTGCGTCACTAAATTATAAAAAGCATGCCATTATTATGTATTTAAACAGTAGCAGCACGAAACCTTTAACCCGACATTCTTTTTACGATTCAGAAAGCAGACTTAGGCGTATCGACATTCACAATCAGTCCTGAACGCGAGAAAGCAGTGGATTTTACTCAGCCTTATTTTAGCTTGGGGTATAAGATAATCACGAAGAAGTCGTACAGGGAACGAGGAAGCAATCTATGGGGTTTTCTTGATCCTTTTGAGACTACTCTTTGGTTGGCTATTGTGGTGTCATCTATCGTTGTGGGAACGGTAAGGTTTTAATCAATAGGATAGTCGCTTATCCTTTCATTTAACCTTTCTTCCATTCACTTACTCATTCACCCTTCCATCCACCTATTCGTTCGTTCAGTAATCATTCATCCTTTCGACCATCCATCCGGCTAGCCATTGTTTGTCATGCATTCATTTATCCATCCATCCGTCTTTTCATTCTGTCGAATAAGAAGTCTGTCAAATAACAAGATAAGACATGAGACAAGAAAAAAAAATGAGATTGATATTTTCTCCCCGATTAGTAGGGCGCTTGTGCCCGGCTAGACGTTTTTGAGACTTTAATAAAGTTATTATTATTATTACAATTTTATTTTACTTCATATGTATTATATTAATACACTTAATTGCAAAATTTATTGGGGTATTTATTGGTGTGGCAAGATGTATTGTACTCTGGCTTGCCGTTCTTTGTACTGCAGGGGATGTTTAGCTTCAAATTTATTATCCTTGACTATTGTTGTATTGCCCTCATACTTCAGAAAGAGCCAATCATTGTCGGGTCCAAAAACATAGAACAAAGAAGCTTACACCGAAATTGTAGATGGGAAATAGATGTATCTAGTGAAGATACCAAGTTATACAACTAGAGGTTTTGAACTGACCGGTAGCATGGGACCTTTTCGACAAATGTTTATTATCGACTTTGTATGTATGTATGAATGTATCTCAAATTTATAAATCAGAGGATGATTATATCATTTCCCAAAATTCCTTTCGGTCTCAGACTCTATTTTCCATGTTTCGGCGTTGAACACGACGACGATTTCTTTAATTTATTGCACAATCCAATTCTACTTCTCAGGTGGTTTGGATTTACGATCGTTTAAGTCCCTACGGGTACTACGGCCGTGTTGCCCAGTCTCCCAAGCCCAAAGAAGACGAATACCTCGCGCGTAACACTCTATGCTTCTTCAATTCTTTCTGGTCAGCGGCTGCCTCCTATCTTGAACAAGGTCCCGACGGAACTCATCCTATATCTCACTCTGGTAGAGCAACCACCTTAGCATGGTAAGGAATTTTGGTGTGACACTGAAATACACCCCTTGCATGTGACGTCAAAGGAGCTCAATTTCGAGGACAAAACAAAAGAATTTCAATCTCATGAGAATTGGAAACCTATTGTTGTGAACTCCAAATTGAGCTGCCTTCCGACGTACTGCAAGGGGTCTAAAGACCTTTCCAAAATTTGCTCGAGTGAGCACGAAACATTGACTTAAGCTTTTAATACTATGTACTTAATGACTGAGAGGGCCGGACGGGAAAATATTTGGCCCGAGGCCATGCCTTACGGACCGACCAAGTCCAGGATATCTGAATATTCTTGACAAGTTTATAGTGTTACACGTTTCAACCACCTTATGAGTTTCTTCACCCACTTAACTAATTGCCCCACGTCATTAGGTGGTTTGCTATCTCCATCTTCGGAGCGACATATACCGCCAACTTAGCGGCGTTTCTAACAGTCAACAAGTACGAACATCCAATCAAAAGCATCGATGATCTAGCCAATCAGGATCGAATGAGCTACGGCACTGCCCCTGGACAACTAGCAGACATGTTAAGATCAGCTTCGTTACCAGTTTACGAGAAGTTATGGCGTTATATTGAGTCACATAATACACTTGAAAGTAACGCAAGCTATGCCATTGAGAAGACTAGAAATACTGAGAACTATGCGTTTATTTGGGACTCTGCTGTTCTGGATTACACAGTACAAAGTGAGCCGTGCAATACTTTGACCATCATTGGAAGGTGAGTGAACAAAGTATTTGGTGTCCTATAAATATCAATTTTTAGTATCATTCACAGTTGAGTATAGAAAATCGTGCGCGCTGATTGGTCGAGAATTTTGAACTATATACCCCTCGCAGCACGTCCGAATGCAGCTCAATTAAGAAGACATAACACTAGGTCTCCAATTCTTAGGACATTAAAATTATTTTGTCTTTTCCTCCAAATTGAGCTGCTTTGAGGAAACATGCAAGGGGTCTATTTCTCGTTATGAAATAACTGTTATGAATTTCGCGTTCTGATTGGTTACG